AGGTTATCACTCTAAAATAGCACTATCAGTTCTTTGGCATTTTTGTAGAACAAAATACTCTTACTAGATTGATTACTTCATTTTAAGCAATGAATCAGGAAATATTAATCATTCATTTATTTTTATATACGCACGCACACACACACACACACAAAACACAAGGTGGAAAATATGTTCAAATTAGGATATGCAAAAGAAATGTGGCTAGCATGTCTATTATCTAAATTTTAACTTAATGTGTTAAGATAGAAAGCAAATAGATCATTCCCTAGGCAAAAACTGGCATCAATTTGGGGAAATTATGACTAATATTCTACAAGTAATCCTCAACTTACAATAACTGAAATTTCTGTTCCTAAGCAATCTATTTATAAAGTACAACCACATCATTTAACAAAAATAATTCTTGAAGTCACAGTTGCCATCATTTACTGAATCCCAAGATTGTTGCCTAACGACTTTCCAAACCACATCAGCGAATTGACAGGTGGGTCACAAATAGGCTGGTAAGCAAGTAAATGGCTGCTGGCAGTTGGGAGGGGGTGGGGGAAGCATGTATGTAGGGAGATGCAGCATGGCTCAGAAAGTGTGCGCAGGAGCCAAGAGAGGAACAGCAAGTCTTCGAAGAGTGACCAAAGATATACAAGGGTGTGAGGAAGCATGATGATGGCCAGGATGGGGATGTGAGGAAAGTCAATGAGCTTAAGGGCTTATCTGGGAATGATGAGGATGTGAAGGAAACACAGTAAGGATTGGGAGGGTACATGGTGGTATAAGTGAAAGAGAAAACCATGGCAAGAATCGGAGAGGATGTGGGGCTTATTTGACTTCTATTAGTTATTGACTATCAGTACTGAAATATTATTACATCAAGAAAGCAAGTTAAAATATCAGGAAAATATTTTGGCCCTATGACAGTCTCAATTGGTGTTTATTGGTTACACAACATTCGAGATTTTACACATACATAGTAATTAGTTTACAACTCACAGTTAAAGATCTGCAATATTATAATACGGAGACAGAATGTAAGTGAGATATATCTGCTCAGTTCTCCAAACTGCCAAATAATCAAGGAGCCCAACTGCTTTAGTTAAGAGAAAATAGCTTTAAGAAACTTTATTTAGTATTTGGGATATAGCATTTTAGATGTCCATCTTCTAAATGGACATTTTTAAATGCTTACATTTTGCATGTTGAAAAATGCTATTTGAGTACTAAATCACCATTCCAGTATATTCAAAATAGAACTTTCTATTTTTGTCTAAATGTCTACATCATACAACATGTATATTTATCACACAAAAATAATTGTCTGTGTTACTATTTATCCTGTTGTATGTATTTAATGCCAAGGTTTGGTTCATCTCCTTTCATAAAAATGCAAACCCATGCTATTCTTCTGTACCTTCCTGTTTTTTCTCCAACTATTTTCTCCTTTGTGATTTTCCACATCAGCCAATTGTTGTGGGACCATGTTATTTCTTCAAACCAGTCTGATTGTGCAATGGCTCTCAAATAAATAAAGTGATTTCTATTTACCACTAAATCCAGTACAAACTCTGTCTTTTATACTATTTCAAGACTTTTATTTACTTATTTGCTCTGTATGCCATTTTTTGTTTTTGTTTTTAAAATATATGCAAACCTACCCTGAAAATGAAAAATGATTTGATATTATATCCTCTTTTTAATTGTGGTATGATCCTTGCTCAATTAACTTTTCCACCAGAAGTCACAAGATAACACCTTTTCTCCCAAGGATTGACTTGATCTGCATGTTTTCCATAACTCTTTTAACAATGCTTTATTAATAATATTGTTGTATTTAACAAGTCTCCTAATATTTAATCAAATATCAACATCCATCATTATTAAACATTAATATTTCATTAAATATTCCAATAAACTGTTCCAAATACAAATACTACAATACTATCTTATGCACTCTTGCAGAATCTTCTTTAATTATAAGCTATCTATCATCCTTCATCTCTAAAAAAAAACTTTTTTTAAAAAAATCTTGTCCTAACCCGTGGCTTTTTTTTTCTTTTTCCCTCCCTTTCTTCTCCAATCTGGTCTTTTTGCCCCCTCCTCTCCTCTCCCCCTTTTTAAGTTTCCCTCTCTGTTGTAATTCTCTTTTCAATTGCTTTCTAACATTGTACCTTCTTTTCACCCTATTTTTCTTTTTCTTGGTTGTTTTATTAAATCTTAAATTCTCCTTTTCCCTTCCTCCCTTCCCATTTTCTTCCTTAATCAAACTTTTTAGTCCATTAAAGATGGCTTCTTCCCTTTCTTCTTCTTCTTCTCCTTCTCCTTCCTCCAGTGTTTGCTGGTACATAGAAACTGCCATTTCTAAAAAATGGAAGGCAGCTCCCAAAGAATCCTTGCCACTTTGTTGTCTTTCTTTTAATTTTTCATATTCCATTTTCAGTTCATCAACCGGTGGTACCATTATAGGTTTTTTTTAAAAAAAAAACAACCCAGATGCTTTCAATCTTGAAGTAGTTTCCAAATGTTATCAAACAATACAAACAAACAAAACTTTTTTCCTCTTCTTCTCTTTACAGTTTTTTCTCCAGAGGCAAAATCCCAGATATATTTTAAAAGCCGTATTACCATTAATTAATGGTCTTGTAATCTTCAAGGCGTCTCCTCCAGCAAAGTTTAAAAAAAAATTTTTTTTTTTAGTCCTCCCCTTCCCACTTATAACAAAGAGCTTATTTTTACCTTTAGAGAGCAAGTTTTTCTGTGCTCCTTTGCTTTCTCCGTAGGGAGGGGGAGTGAACTTTCCTTCAGCACTTTCGCCGATGTAACAGATTCTTTTGGAAACAAATGAATCAATCCAAAGTCAGGTTTCCAGGGTGTTTTAAAAGTAACATAATGTCGTGGTTTAGCCAAGAAAACTTCTCCTTCTAAGACTTCCTCCTGCGCAAACTTATCCAGTTGAAGAATCCTTTATGGCTGCCATGGAGACAGCCGCTCATCCGTCTCAGGAAAAAGGAGTCTAGCCGGCTGGGGAAGGGGGGTGCGATGTCCCCAGACCCCTGCCCGGATCTCCTCTGTCTTCCGCTGCCCCTTCAGGGCAGCGACAACCCCCAAATCCAGTTGGATCGGGGGTACCTTGATGGCGAGCGCAGCAGGGACCCGCAGAGAAGCGGATTCCTGCCGCCGCCGAAGCCTTACAACCGGATTAATTATTAATTAATGATTAATGCTTAGTTAAAGTTTAATTTGTTAGTGTTTTAATATTATTATAACTTTAGTATTTTATTTTTTCTATTCTAAAACAATGTACTTATCAGAATTAGAATTAGAATAGAAATTATATATTTAATTATACTATAAGTTTACTATTCTTTTATTTTAAGATTCAATATGTAGAAGGTACTAAGCAGAATCAGGATGGAAATTATGTATTATTTTAAGCTTTATTTTAGGAGAAGGCGTCATACTTCAAAAGCGATTACAGGGGAAATTTTTTGTTAAAGGGAAGAGATACATAGATGTTTGGTAAAGAACGGACAAAAGACATAAGTATAATGACTTTGAAATAAGATGAAATAAATAAAATATAATTAAGAGAGTGAAAAGATGGGAGAAGTTATATAGAAAATACAAAATGGTTAATAAGATATGAAGGGTATATAAGGTGGGCATGAATTTGATTTAGGTCTGTCAAAAAAGATGTAACCTGGGACCAAGTCACTTTTCAAAAGTAGTTTTATGTTTTATGTTTAATGTGTGGATTATCTATGTTTGATTCTAAATTAATAAAATTTCGGAGAAATGAAATTAAAGGGAGAGAAATTGGGAAAAGATATGTATAAATGATAACTAAGGAGGTTTTTTTTTCTCCAATGTTTTGCTTTAAGTGTGATAATGTGCAACCATGTTTTAAAAAATAATGCTTTATTTGTCTTGTTGAAATTTATAAGTAATTCTTAGAAAGGAGGTTTTATACCTCTATGTGTTATGTTTTGTTTGTCTTTAAAAATCAATAAAACTTGTTCTTAAAAAAAAAAATATTGTTGTATTCACGATTATTCATGTGAGTAAAACAGAGAAAAGGAAAGGACAACATTTTTTTCCAAAGTGTAATGGAAATTTGGAATATAATTAATACTTATATGCACATATATTTATAATTGACATATATTTAAATTTTCAATCACTCTATAATTCAAAATACATTTTTTTTAAGAAAGAAATGCCATACGAAGAAAATAATGAATATGTTCATTTATACGTTTATTGAGAATTACAGAAGAAGCTAAGCTACTTCAATAAAAACTGCTCAAAACAGCTGGCCAACAATTGATATGGAATTATTGCCAAATCGCTTATCCAAACTAGTGTAATATATCTTTATTTATGAAGTCATAATTATTAGCTTGGACTCACTGAGTCAAAAGCAAAATATCTCACTACCAATAGTAGTCACTTTCTGGATGTCACTAAAATCTTTATAATGGAAGGCAATGCTTCTTGTAAATAGCATATAATTCAGGGATGATAGCGTTTTACAATCTCAGAAGATGAATTCAAATAATGTAATGGGAATAAACTGGTACAAACACTTTTTAAATTCTATTATTTAATCTCCCAGGATTTTTTGCCTTCCTTCCCTTACTACAAAGATTTGGGATTAATAATTTTCAGAACTAATGTCTAGTTAATATTTGATAAGGTGGTAAATATATATATTCCATACATATAACAATAATGAGTTCATAGAGAACTGTCTGTCAGAATCTATTGAATGAGAATGTTCCTTTAAATTATTATTTTATGAATAATTCTACTATTGCTACTTTGGAGGAAAATATAATAATCAGAAATCTTTTGTTCTGTAAGTTTACTATGCAAATTGCACGGAATATTTCACAATTTATTGACTTATTAAAGCAACCATTCTCTCACTTCAGAATCTTTATCAACTGGACAAACCTGGGCAAAAAATGGACCCATGTATAAAATGAAATACAATACACACTTACTTTCTGAAAAAATAATTTCATCATTGCATTCATCATCTTTGCAGGAACACATATATAGCAATCCTCCAGCACCTTTCTTCTCTTTCATGAAGCATTTTTTTGAATTGACATCATCCAATTTGTATCCATGGAGTTCTAGTGTAGGATCATGGCATATTGTTTCTAGAGTTACGTTCCCATTATACTTTCTCCTAAAAAATGGTGGAATTTTTTTTTTAAAGTACAAATATTTCTTTCTAAAGAAAGACAACTGAAAATGGGGTTATACAGAATAAAAAAATAACTGCACTAAAATTAAATTTCAGAAAAGGTTTCAGGTGCTATATTTACAACATTTCTATAATGATTACTGCAGTAATTTAAACAGCATTAAATTGTCTGAAATAGAAAGTACAATGTTATCTTCCATCACAGTATATCTATTTACTGAAATAGTTGTCTTGCATAGATCTGTACAGTGTTGAATCATCTTGGGAACCATTTTTGAGGAATGGCTAGTTATACAAAATAAAAGTTATCAGAAATAGCTTGTATTTATCCAGCTTATTAAACAATTCAAATAAACATAACAAATGAATCATCAGGACAAAAGCTTACTAGTTAGTCATGCATAGTCTGCATTGTGATTTATTAGATGGTCACCTACTTTTCTTTCAATAGCAGATGAGAGGATTGGTAAATCTTTCATGGATCATAATAAATGGATACAGGCAATATTAGCTTGGTAAGGTATAAGGTGTACATCCTAATATATTCAACAATGATGTAATAATCTCCAGGTACACAGCCTTATACATGAGTTGTTTTACTGTGAAATGAAATTAGCCAGAATCACCTTACTTCATCATAATGTACCTTAGTTAGCACTATGAAAGCCAACAACTGAACTGAGAATGTGAATTTGGAATCACTGATTATGCACAAATAGTTGTAATATTGTATGTGTGTGTCATGAGTTGTTTATAAAAAAGTAAAATAGAGATAAAAATCTAAAACAAAGATTGTCCCAGAAGCTTGGAGGAACATCTTGTGGTGTCTAAGATATACAAATGTGTATCTACAATATTTTATTCATGTTAGGAAGATTGCATAATGAACTTGATAGAAATAGCAGATAGGGAGAGTAAGAACATAATACATGACCCATCTCAATCTGCCATCTTTATATAATACATGAACCATCTCAATTTGCCATCTTTAGATCATCCTATAAAACTTATTATCAAAGTTCTTCTTAATGTACACATTGGAAAACTAATCAATACTGCTGCAACAAGCCAGTATTTTAAAGGCAATTTAATAACATTGGCTTGTTTCAAATCTTGTAATATTAATTTCTAATACAGATGGAACCAAAACTTGATGCTAATTAGAAGTCTCCCAGTTTAATTATGTTGTGAGAATTGTAGAAGTCAAAAATACTTCCTCATACCTACTTATTAAGCCATATGATAATCTAAACCAGATCAATGCATTTTAATTAAATCTTGTTGAACATCTTTTAAACTTCCATACAGCTTTCAGACACAGAATCTATTATAGCTTGTACGGTTCTGTGTTTATAGTGAGCCATACAAGAGTGAATTTAAATAGACTTAATATATTCTAATCAAATCTGGTCTATAGTGACTATCTGTTGAAGAGATTATATTCTAACTCATCTGCTTTGCTTCTGTTTCCAAAAGAACTGGAACTTGCTATTGGATGTCTGAACGTTAGATCATAACGACATAGGCCCCCTTCTTCGGAATGATACATTTGTTTAATTTTGCAAGAAAATTATGCTCATGCAATATAAGAAGTAAGAATTTCAATATATTACGTTGATATGAATTGAAGCTTGGTTTTATTCCGAAAACTGACACAATAATCAAAAAGTATAGTGGAAGTTAGAGACAAATTTAAAATGAAACAAAACCCAACTCAATAAATCAAATGCCAATTCTTGCACATAGATACAATGTACTTACCAAACTGCTGCACAGATTTCATTTTTATGTTCACAAATAGAAGTGATGTTGCAGTTACTGCAACAATGACCTTCATTGGTGCAGGTTGTCAATTTAACATCACAAAATTTGCATAGTTTTCCCATTTTGAATCCACCACTGAAGATGTTATGTTCACGATATTCAGCTACAAAGGAAATAGATAGATAGATAGATAGATAGATAGATAACAAAGAATATATTAAAATACACTTTATTTGCCAACTTATATTTTAATATGTAATTATATTTTAACGTATTATTATGAACAATATTTTTGTATCAGAAACATGTCAGAATATTCATGAAATGGCAGAGACATGGTAACAAGGTCAGCCAATGAATAGGCATGGCAACTAGATCAGCCAATGAGGGCTGTTTTGGAAACAGAAACTTAAGGAAGGAGTCTGGGCGTGGCTTAGCTCTGTGCTCAGCTCTAAAACGAAACTAGTCTGGTCTGATCTAGTCTGCCTGCTTAACTGAAACTAAGAACTTACTTACAATCTTTCCTCTCTACCACATTGGAAGAATCTGCTGTTGGTATTGTAAATGTACTTCATGTGTTATTATGTATGTAAAGAAGCTAATGAATCCTACTGAATCAGTTATCTGTGTGTGCTTTCTGGATTTGATTTTCTGCAACAAACTCTGACAAAACATACTCAACAAATGTAGTTTGTTTCCATCTGACAAAATAAGGTAAGACTACAATACATTTGCTTTAGCTAGTACAGATTTACATAGCTATTGTCCTGAACAATAACATACTTTTAACCTTATATTAATCTATGTCTTTAAAAAACATATCCTTCCAATAAAAATTATATATACGTGTGCATGCACATGCGCGCACATGCACACACACACATTTGGGAAATACAACATAATTTTTTGGCCAGGCTGTACCATACATCAAGCAAAGGTACCGTATTTCCCCATGTATAAGCACCCCCTTTGTATAAGCCACCCCCCCAATTTTTGGACTGTGAAGTTTTGAAAAAAATATTTTATTAGAGAAACAAGTTATGAAGAAAGAAAATTTACAAAGAAACAAAATTCGACGTCTAGATCTACAACTTCGGTCATGACGCCGAAAGCGGTGCAGGCGACGCTAGCAATCTACGCATCGGAACGAGAGTAGGAACGAAGCATTCAGGCCGATGCCTAGCGCATGCATTTCTATCGCATACTCGCACTCATAATCGTATCATCACGTACAATTTTTACAAAAAAGTATGGCATACAGCTGGAAAACCAGTTTATTCCTACTTTATTATTTTATGCATTTTTCACATATAAAAAGTGTACCTGCTTTGTATATGCCACCCCCCTACTTTTTGGGCTTGAAAATTTTGGAAAAAAGGGGTGGCTTATACATGGGGAAATAGGGTAATTATTGTCTAAAGCAAAGGTGTAGAACCACCAAATTCTGACACCATAATTTTAAGATTAAATTTAAAATAAAATTTAAAATTTGATACAAATAATCTTCAAAATTATTGCTGTACCAACATGCATTAATGAACATAGAACACACCAACCATCCTAATTTGCCAGGATGCTCTTCATTCAGATATTGCATGTATCTTATATCTTTGGATAATTACACTGCACAAATTACACCTATATTTGGAATGTAAGTGATATTCAAAAAAGTTCAGCCAGAACACGGGAAAGAAAACAAGCACGCCATATTGCAATGGATATTTCTGGGACAAGAAATTTAGAAGTAAGGGATTATTTTAAATCTGAGAAATGAAAATATTCATCTTGCATTTAGGTTTCATAGCCAAGTTTTAAGATAAAATCTCTGTTTTTCTCCTTTTGTTTAGGGAAAATGCATGGCTGCTGCTAGAATTATGCACTTTCCATTTTTTTAATGGAATGACCAGTCAGATGCAAATGTTTGTACGTGGGTAATACTATGCTCTGAATTTGAAGGAAATAATCTGTATTTGTTTAGAATTTGTGTTAAGTTTTGTGTACTATGAAGCTAAGTTATGCTGGTGCTCTAGAATATTTTGTTATTACAATTTTTGCTCTTTTTCACAATAATCTTTTGACTTTGTAAATAAGCAACAACATTCAGGGTCAACCCCCTGTAATTAATAGCCTCAATATACAGAACAGCTGAAGAGAGTAAACATGAATAGTAATAACATACATAGCAAATCTACTGGTTCATGTATTTCCTCCTCTTCAGTTGCTTTCATGTATTTCCTCTTCAGTTGCTAAATAAAGTGTGATAGAACTTCAAAACACAATGAATATTTATTTTCAGGGCAAACAATACATATACAAGTTTTTCATACAGTATTAGAAAGCAGATTTGCCTTTCTAAAGGGTAAGAAATTAAACTGCAAGTAATATTCAGTAGATTTTCAAACTTGTACCACAGGAGAAAGCAATATTTCCAATCCTAATTTACAAAGTCATAGAATACACTGATTCAACATTCCTTATTAGACAGCAAAAGTAGCGTAGGTAGATAGCTGATAGATAGATGATAGATATGCTATAGATATAGATTTATAGAAAGGTATAGGTAAAAGTAAAGACATAGATATAGATAGATACATAGCAAATATATGTATTTGCATAGCGAAAATCATTTGAAGTAAGTTTTCCCATAATTACTGAATCAGTAGAAAGACTATATTTTATTTCATAGTCATTTCTTTTAAATAATTTGGACACCATCCTCAGGTACTTAACAGCATGGGACAAAAAAAATAGAAGTTAAAAAAAGAAAGGAGAGCGAGGGAACCAGAAATTGGAAGAACCCAAGCCATTACCCTTGATCCATCTGAGAATGATCGGGCAGTGGAACAAGCCGAAGGACTGGCAGCCATACCAGTTACCCAGCCCCTTGTCACCCCAGAGCAGGGGATTAACCCAGGCCAACCCAGAAACATACAACCGCAGAGAAAGGTTTTACCCTTGAGGGTAAAATTCAATGGGGACCCCCAGAAACTGGGATTTTTCCTGGAGCAAGTCTTCACCTACATGCAAGAACACGGGCGGAATTTCTCAACCCAGGGGGCCTGAGTGCGAGTCGTCACCCTGGCCCTAGATGGGGCAGCAGCTAGATGGATGGTGATTCTCCATAACGTCAATGCTCCAGAGCTGAGGAACCTCAACCAATTCATGACAGCCCTACGCCAACACTTCGAAGACCCCCTCACTGATAGAAAAGCCCAGGATCACATTAGAGTCATAAAGCAAGGCCGTTGCCTGGTAGCTGGGTACATCGAGGAATTTCGTGACCTGGCCGGCCGAGTCGACTGGCCAGAAAATATCCTAGTCTTCTCCACCCAGGGAAAGCAGGAATTTTTCAAACCCCAAACCACCCTGACCCCAAGACCAGTTGGCTGTTTTAAGTGTGGAAGAGAGGGGCGCCATGCAGCAGAATGCTGTTCGAAAACCCCTGGCAGAAAGCCAGACCACCCATCGGGGGGAAACCTGGAAAATCCAACCCTCGAGGAAAAGAAACTGGCCTGAGAAGCTGAGAAGCTGTGAGGTTCTGGTCTCTCCCCGACCCAGAGGAAGAACCCCCAATGCCACGAGGAGACCTGAGCCAGTCTGAAAGCGATCCAGAAGACGACCCGCTGGTAAGCAACCAATTGGACCAATCAATGGAAGGGGGAGGAAGTAGTGTTACTGGATTCAGGATGCACCTGGTGCCTAATCAACCCCTCCCTAGCAGAGAAATTGGGAATCCAACTAAACAAATGGAAAATCCCATCGCTTTTTGCCAATTAGATGGAACTATAGCGAGAGAGGAGCCAGCCAGTTTTGCCCCAGAACCATTGAAAATAAGACTAGGGAACCATAGTGAGATGCTCACATTCATTGTAGCACCAGGAATGGAAGGGCCACTAGTACTAGGACTCACGTGGCTACGGAAATGGAATCCAAAAATAAACTGGAAGACAGGAACCGTACATTTCCATAAACATGTAGCATTTGCAAACAGCCCAGAGGAAAGGAAAAGAAAGGGAATAGAGAACAGAGAACCAACCATGGCTGGTCAGACGGCTGAACCCATTAACATCCCCAACGAGTACCAGGATTTAGCCCAAGTATTTACCGAGGAGGCTTCTCCCAACCCATCGCGCCACACACTGCACCACTGAAATCCTACTAGGGGCTAAACTTCCAAAACCAAAAATGTACTGCATGTCCCACAGAGAATTAAAAGAACTCAGGGCATTTATCAATAAAAATCTAAAAAGGGATTACATCGAACCTACCCAACCAAAAATAGCAACCCCATTATTATTCCACGAAAAGAAAGATGGCTCAGTGTGTCTATGTGTTAATTACAAAAATCTTAATGCCATCGGTGTGGAGAATATGTACCCACTCCCGCTCATGAAGGACATGTTAGCCCACCTCACTAAAGGAATTTTTTTTTCAAAGTTAGACCTACAAGAGGCATACTACCACATTAGAATAAGGGAAGGGATGAGTGGAAGATGGCTTTTAATACCCCACTGGGATGCTACCAATTTAAAGTGCTGCCTTTTGGATTACAAGGAGCCCCTGCCGTGTTCATGCAATTAATGAATGAGACCCTCCATGAATTCTTGTACAGAGGGGTTCTCGTTTATCTCTATATTTTAATCTACACCGAAACAAAAGAACACATCAAATTACTCTGAGCAGTTCTCACAAAACTCCTAAATGCCAAACTATATGCAAAACTCTCTAAATGTGAATTCCACCAAGAAAAAATTGACTACCTGGGATATAGAATATCCCACGAGGGAATAGAGATGGACCCACAGAAAGTAAAAACTGTCATCGATTGGGACCCGCCCCATACTTGCAAACAACTGCAAAGCTTCCTGGATTTTGCAAACTTTTACTGCCAGTTCACTCCAGCTTTTGTGAATATCGCCCTCCCCATCACAAACTTGTTAAAACAAAAGCGGGGGAGAAACCCAAACCAAGACAACCCCTTACCTGGACGATAGAATGCCTAGTGGCATTCAAACAACTGTTCTCAGCAGAACCAATCCTGAAACCCTGAACCCTGAACAACCATTTGTCATCCAAGCAGACGCCAATGAGGTAGCAGTTGGAGCAGTTCTACTCCAAAAGAATGGATGTGGACAGTTACAACCATGTGCTTATACTTCCAAG